CATGTGGATTTCAAGATTGGTCTGCTCAAATGAGCCACCATCTTACGGGGGCGTGTTAAGGAATATATATCCCACATCGATAAATGATGTTGACACAGACCAATTAATAAAGATTTTGGGTTACTCTTCTTAACAAGATTGACTTTTTAAGATGGAACCCCAATTCTTAACATAATGGAGAGATAATTCTCAATTTTATTAATTCTTTAAAAAAAAAAAATACACTATTGGCGGCAGCGGCACCCCAGAACTGGTGCTGCACGACAAAATTATAACACAAATTACTCTGTTAGTCCCTAAAATCTTAGATAATGTAAGAATAACCCTAAACACTGTTAAGTAAATATAAAAAGTCACCTAAAATAAATATAAAAAATATGGACAGCATAATAAAAATGAAGCTGTCAATCTCCCGTATTCGTCGTATCCATATCATATATTCATAAAAAATTAAACTACAAAACCCGTAGTTTTTTATGAACAACGTATATATCGGTAAATAGTGATTTTTAATATTTTTGTAATTAATTAAATATCCAAATAAAACAAGTCACGTCCCACTTGATGTTAGTGCATAAACAAGACATGGTAACTCAGTTCAACGTAGTATGTCCAATCCTTTTTTCAATGAGCATATAGTCAATTGGCAGATTTAAAACTTGAATTCTACTTGTTGACATCAGTTTTTGGCCGATGACAATAGATTTTGACTCTACTCATGTTCACACGTAAAGCTCTTGCACAGTTGGACAAATCGTTAGGAGTACGTGACCTTTTTCGATGGCAGTGATGACCTTGGCGAACATTTCGACAATTAAGTCAATCAACTTGAATATACATGTGGAAATATATAAAATAGTAAATCATTTTACCCTTATTGAAATATTTAATAATGTGGTCAAAAACCATTTTTGGTCAACTGACACAGAGTGTACGGTTTCCATTCATTTGAATTCCAAACGCACGTACTTGAAGATTTGGGATCACAGGTGCAACAAATGAAAAGTTAGAGTAAAACCTGCAAAGATTTAAAAGGTTTGGAGCTGTGACTACAATTATTCATTAAAATTTTGATTGTGGGGATTCGGTGCATAATTTGGATTTTGGATCATCTTATATTTGACATCAACGTGGATGTATGTGGGCAAAGCTATGCATTGAAAAGGGACTGTTTTCCATTTTGTACATGCAAGGTTATCGGCTGGTTTGGTGAGATGATTTTGTACATAATGTTGTTTCAAAGAGGTAAAAAACATTAGAGCGTCATTCGAATTCGAGCTTTTCTAAAAATGCTCTAATTTATCTTATACGAAAAGTTGAAATATGTATCTAGTCAAACTTTTAAATTGACAAAATCATCCTTATTATTTTACTAAAAACATCAAATGTACGCAAATTATTATCATATATTGATGAAAGTACAATGCTACATGCACCGACAAATTGTACAGATGGATTTATGCCACACAGCAACATTTTATTTGATTTTAAACAAAACATACAGTTAAAACAGCCAATCAAGTGCTGTCATCTCAAAACTGTAAAACTATATGTACATTTTATTTGTATAAGTATCATTTATGTTGATGAAATATCTTTAATTTGTATAATTTAAAAAATTATTTTGAAATGTTTATGACTTTTTATTATTACTAGTCAAGTTGAATGTGCATTGCACGTTATTCTGAAATACTTTATAAATATTTTTAAAGTAATATTTGATATTAATTTGTTGGGAGGATTTGATGAGTATGAAACAATCTAAAGAAAATAAAATTTAGAATAAAAATTTAAGAGAAGAAAATTGTACTCTCAAAACTCAACTTCTATGGTTCTATTTTTTTGTGATGATGAAATACTACAAATGAGCAACATTTTTNAAGAGAAGAAAATTGTACTCTCAAGACTCAACTTCTGTTATTCAAATTTTTTGTGACGATGAAATACTACAATAATCAACATTTTTATACTACATTTGGTACATAAGAATTAATCTAATACATGCAATCATTAAAATTTCTAAATACATGAATATGAATAAATTCATCTATAATAATCTATATTCGTGTAGATCAAGATTCATCATGTAAAGTTTCATTGAGTCTAGATTAATACGAATATTAATTAATTAAGAATTAATTACACGAAATTCATACATAATAAAGATTTGTAGTATTTATTACATATTGAAAAATGAAAAGTAAAGTATTATTGAAATAATTAAATTGTAATAGGGTTAAAATAGTTCAAAAAATCATTCTCAATTGACGTGATATTTAATATATTATAGATTATTACTATTTATTATTTTAGGCATGAAGTGACAAATATGATATGTTCGAAAATATTATAGAAATTACACATAATTGTGTTCTCTAAATACATTGTAAACAATATGTTATGTACTAAAAATCGGTTGATTTAATTAATTGTCACTGAAGTGTAGTAGTTTTCTTACAGTAGTAGTCACTTGAGTTTCTAATAATTACATTAATGGGCAC